GGGGGGGGGAATCCTGAAGCCCAGAAAACCCCTCTGGATCCGCCACTGCCGTAGTTAACACTAACACGCAAAATAACGTTGCCAGCGACATTGCAATAAATGACATGTTTTTTCATTTATTTATTTTTTATCTTGACTCTGTGATTTATCTAACTTACAGAGATAGGTACACGCTGTGCCATCCGAGGAAGTTTGGGCCATTGTGAGCTTGAGTAACAACCATTCTGTGGATGTCTGCTAGCGCGTCATACTGGTTTGTTGGTCCCACCTGTAATGATAGTGACATGCTGTACAGTGACACTTCAATATAACGCCCCTCGTTTAATTTGCCATTTCCGTTACCGCCAACGTATATCAATGTCCATTTGTCCTGGTTTCTTCACACTTTTCTCGCAATTGATCGCCATACACCTTCAATAAAACCCTTACAAAATGTCTTAATGGTGGCAGTATAGCGAGGTTTTACTGTCAACGATCTTATTTTGGCACACTAAAATTTTAGAAAAACAACTCAGATTTTTAAAAAATAGTTCATGAATTGATACGCCAAAAATATATCATACAGAAAACTATTTACAGAAACTGCAATAAGTGCAATTAAAATATTTCTTACGCGAAAAGAGTTATAAGAAGGTTGCCGTATAAATATGTACGTTAACAGTAATAATGGGTTGTCAACACAAATTTAATTGAATGATTTTCCTTACATTTTGTTTGCAATCAGTAGACAAAATCGAATCCATTAAATTCCTATGTTTGGTGTAATTGGGTGAAGTTATAGCAGTGTTTTATTCAGTATTCACGTGGATGGATTTAATTGCCTTTTCTGCTAATATGTAAACTGCTACTGTTCAACGAAAATCCCTGTATGTTCGCTTTGATTATTTGATATAATGCATTCAGATACCAACAACTTTATAAATGACCAAAGTGACAATTAAACATGATCTCGAAAGACCAAAAAAATCACTTAAACAAATATATGCAAGTTTGTTTTTACATATATTTTACAATGAAAGCGGTTCAGAATTTATAATCTTGAGTTGAAGAAAACTAGAAATAAATTTTGAATATGAATAAAATATTAAATATATTGGATAATGTAGTTCGATGTTGTATAAATTGCTCCGTTTCAGAAATTTATGTTTGTATAAATGCATGACATAATTCACAAAACAATCTTTACCGGTGTTCTCTTCAGTTGATTGATTCTGTTCACAAAATCGACCCATTCTCTCCGACTAAGTGTTCGAACTTCACGCCGTATCAATCGTCGACCTCTTGGACGAACGCCTGGTCCGCTTCCTACTCCTGGTATCCGTCCTATTCCTTGTCCGCGTCCTAATCCTGGTATCCGTCCTATTCCCTGTTCGAGTCCTAATGTTGGCAAAAGTACCGACCCTGGTATAGCTACTGAACCTTGTCCTATTCCCTGTGGTACTCCTATTAAAGGAAGGCCCTGTACCTGTCGTTTGTAGCGTCTACTTACACTTTGGTACTCGTGATATTCTCCGAGTACCTGTCGCATAAGTTCCTGCGCGTAAAGTATAGATTCATTGGCTATCGTGCGCTGAGGACGAAGATATGTTGTGGAGTAGAGAAATTGGTTGATACAAAACATGTTAATGTCCTCAGACGGTAAATCCATTATGCTGATGTTCTGGGTTCGGAATTTGTAACATTCCTCCAATTCTCTTGGCATCGGGATCTCCTCCACGAATCCGGTCACTTCAATGACGGCGAATGAACACGTGGTTAAGAAGAATGTAATCAATCCTGCTGCATGACGCTTGCCCGCCTAATTAATGATAAAACAGGCGACGTTAAACATAATTTGACAATTTGATATTTATCCTTTATTAATTTTTTATTAAATTTCTTTCAAAATTAGAATGTCTACGAAACGTTCCATCAATCTAATAATCCTTACGTTAAATAGAGAAAAAAAAAATCTAATGCGAAAAACCGGATATAAAAATAAATAAATAAATGTTTAATGTATATATGTATTATCCCACACATATTAATAAAGCCAACATCTTTGAACTTAAAGTAAAAATACGGCCAAGCGTTTTTTATAGTTCATAACATCAACTTTTTATGAAGATTTCAAATTAATTGTCTGAATTCAATATTTAAAAGGCACATTGATACCAATTGAATGCTGACCATTTCCCCCTTTTTTTTCTTCGTATATAAATATTTTCTTATTGAATAACATTTAATTTTGAATTTTTAAACTAAAGCTTCCATTTTGGTTAGTTTTGCAAGTAAGTTATCATACAAAAAGACTCCCGGGGTTAATTTTCCTTATCTATTTTGAATTATTTAAAATATTGGAAATTTAATCTAATTTACAAATTTAGAAAATACAAATACATGAAATTATGCTGAATTCGTCAGAGTAATATTTTGATACATACCATGGTTATGACCGGGTTCGATACTCTAACATCAGTAAATGTCGACCGACAGCTCAAACTTTTCTATTTATTCTAAGCCAGATTACCATAAGAGCATACGTAATGAGCTCATCAATCGTCGATCGTTTTATGTTACATATATTCGGAAGGTGTTGATTGCTGTCGAAGTAAATGCATCATCATTGAGACATGTTTTTTTTAAAGTTTTTATCAATTACTGCATTACAGTTTCAATAGAATGAATTAAGTAAACGAACAAGGACATTAAGAGTTATAACCTTCCATCCCAGCATGCTTCTGGCCAAATATCATTACCCTGGATCTTTTGGCTATTTAAGTCATTTAAAGATTTAAACATTTTTTATCCCTGTGACCTTGAATATGACCGAAGGTTACTCATTTTAACAAACTTTGTTGCCCTTTATCTTTGACAATGGGTGAAGGTAATTCATTTGAACAAACTTGGTAGCCTTTTATCCCAGCATGTTACTGGCCAAATATCATCATCCTAGGCCTTTTGGTTACTGAAAGAAAGTAAAAAGTTGACGCCGGACAGACGAATGGACGACGAACGCCGCACCATGGCATAAGCTAACTTGCCCTTCGGACAGGTGAGCTAATAACACATTGGAACTTACGGAATTTTTACAGCGCCCTATGAGTCAATAAAAGTTCTCTAATGTTATAGAAAAAAGAAAACATAAAACATCAATAGAAAATGAATAATTGTCAACAAAACCGCAAATAAAACTCAAAAACAATAAAACTCGGGCAAACTATAAACAAAAGAGATATTAACAGGGATACCCTTGACATTAAATACGGAGAATAACAGTTAGTGTTTGATAAGAATATTAAAGCGTCATCTGTTTCAACGTAGATACCCGCCATGTAAAGTTAGGTCAAATCCAAGTTATAGCATTCCTGATAACGATATCAGATTTACAAAAGTATTCAAGGGAAGTTACAGTAAACATTACTTATAATCTCTACAAATCTATTACAACGGTTTCAAAATGATGGTTTTCTGGACTTTTTGAAAACAGTACACAGTTTACGCGGCCGGAATGAGATTGTAAGGTTGTTCCACTATTCTGCTGATAACTGTGAAACTGCCGAATTTTCCTCAGTCACGGTGTGTGTTTGGAACAGCCAGTAGCCCACATCTGAGTGAAAACGTACTCGAGAAAAGGTACTTTGAAGTACAATGGAGACTATTTTCGAATGACCTTGAAAACGTATGAAAGTGTGTCCTGGTGGGGCTGCAACACTTTCACCTGCGTGATCTTGTTAGAACGTTTGTTTGTTTGTTTGTTTGTTTGTTTACGGTTTAACGTCCTCACGACAGTCAGGGTCATATGAAAAGATCCCAAGTGTTGTCATGGGGGACGGTAATCAATTTCGGTCTCTTCCATGTATCATTCGTAGAGCCCCCAATTATGCAGGGCCCCACATACGTCGCCTTTAACGAAACACATGCAGTGGTATGCAGCAGATCTATTCTTTGTTTCTTCAATGTTTCTGTCTCGCTCGCATATGTATATATGTATATATACAGTTGGTAGGTATTTTGTTATGTTTTGTATGTAATGTTTGTGTACGTGTGTTATTTGGTGGAACGCTACCTAGAAAGCGGTAAGGTAAGTATGTTCGAAAAGACACGAGAGGTACCGGGGGAAGAAACTTTGAAACATGGCGGTATTGCATGTTCACATGGAGAACGGACAATATTATGTACTTTCATAGGCCGCTCCATGAGGAAAGCAGAGAAAGCTGACTGTGGTAAGTGTTGTTGATGTCCCATGTATTTGGTCCGCTTGGATTTTGTAATTTACCTGATGGAGACCGGTCAAGCATTCTTAGGTGGTGCGGTCCACTCATGCGTGACAGTTGTTTACGTGTGCATTTCGTCTATAAACCATTTTACACGTGTTATAATTGTAATAATCGGCATATATTGGTTGTATGAAAAAGATAATTGTGTGTTACTTGTGTGTAAATGATCAGAAACCTAGATGTTATTGTACATTACATTATTTGTGCGTATGCATTATCTGTAGGTACGGAGGCCCATAGGTGACATGTTAGTTGATTGCATGCTGTGGACCCGCACGAATACTTAATTGCTAGTTTGCTAACATTTCGCTTATTATGTTATCAGCATTTATTGTATTCTTTGTGATCTTAGTTACGTAATTATTCTAAATATCAATATCCTTTTAGGTATTCGAAATGTCAGTTTGTGAGAATTATAAAAGTATGGAAGCGCGTGGGTGAAATAAATGTGTAGTTAAAATATGTGAAGTGACATTCAAATTACGGGAATTTATATAGATGTTCGTCATCGCCTGTCATTTTTTCCATCTTTTGCCAGCTTTCTACCCTGGGATTATCTGGAGGATCATCTGTTGAACAGCCCAGCCGACACACGAGACAGATTTGACCATGACAGGGTCATTTGGGTGTGATACAGCGGCGGTACAACATATCCTAAGATAGCCAGCGGTTTCTTTGCACAGAGGAGGACTTCCACTGAAGTCGATGGTCTATTGTGTAAGACCACCCAATTTGTCTACAGTGCCAGTAGATTGTGCCACCCTTCTAGATGTTGGACGTGTGTAAACACTTGCTTGTTTTGACGCTGTCCAGTGGGAAAGCAAACCCTAACTCATGGCTGGTGTGAGGTTGACTTTGTTCTAGTTCCAGAGGAGTTTAGGATAGTTTACAGAAGAGGATCTGGATTTGACAGAACAATTCCTTTAGACTGTATTTATTTGTGTGTTGTGAGTGTGAGTGAGTATGTATTATATTAATCTGTGTTGTACATTATCTTTATAAATAGTGTAAATAAATATGTACATACTGTATAGAGTGTACTACTGTGTTGTCATTGCCGAGTAAGGCTGCGTCGCTCGTCCCACAGTTACAGTTTCCTTAATAGAACGCCAGGAAGAAATGTAAGGGACAGTTATTGTGTACGTAATAGTAGTGACTATTTCCGGTGTCCTGTCAAGAGTTACGTGTGTATTGTCAGCTCAACGTGATCGTGTAAATAAACCATGTGTAATCAGTGTGAGTTGCGTTTGTGGCTTTTACATAGTTTTTGACATAGGCTGTAAGCGCTCATAAGACCAGAAAGTTAGTGACGTCACGAAAAATGGAATAACCTGATTTACCCCAGAATGGTTTGAGCTAGCAGTATATATGCAGGTTTCATCTCATTCTGGAGGAGAAAATTCTGATGCTGACTGAAGAACACGGCGAAGATACTACAACTATAAGGTATATACAAAGGCTGGACAAGTCTTTGTGGAAGGACTGGATAAGTCTTTCATATCGTGGTAGTTGTTGGTAGTTGTTGGTCGCTGAATAAGTGACCAGTGGTCGTGAGGCAGTAGGTCAGGGTGACTAGCGGTTGTAAGGCCTGTGCACGGTGTAGCTTTAACGGTGTGTGAGCCGGTGCGCTGCGCTGGATAAGCCGGTGCACAAGGTTGTCACTGCGCTGTAATAGTGCCGGGTGCACTTGTAATAGTCGTGTGCTAGTTGTTAATGCCGTGCGCCGCGCTGGATAAGCTGGTGCGCTGTAGGTGTTGTCTAGTCCCCTGTTAACGTTATATGTGCATTGTAGAGAGACCCTGTGTATTGTATGAAACTGTCTCATAGGTTTGTCGTATTAAAATCCTTTGTAAATAATACTAATTATAGTCTGATTAGGTTTGCTTGGGTCCAATTCATAGGAAGTCTCTGCGCTACTAAGCAAGTGCGCTAAGGCGAAGCTACCGGACCTGCACAGCATATCCCGAGAGACACTTGGGACGGACCAAATATGTACCGACCATGGTGCACGTTGCAAAGGGCCCTCATTAGTCGCCGCTTACGATCTCTTACCTAAAACCAACACGGGTTATATTGGAAAGAACATGCGGTATCACGGGAAATTGGAACCTTTAGAACGTCAACCAGAAGTTTGATATTCTTCTCATAGCAAATGCAAGAATTTTTCCGTCTACAACTTCTAAGACAGGACGCTATATTTAACTCTTCAGCGAATAGCAGTATTGATACAATTGCACAATAAATTGACCCATCAATTTAAGGCCCAGTGTTTTTTTCTGATCCTTTTTGACAGGAAATACAAGGTCGACAAAGGTGGGTAGGATTCTGCAGCATTAATGCAGGGTTAAACATTGGACTCATCCAAGGATCTGTTGCAAAATATATTCTCTTTTCAGTGATACTTGGTAACCCATTACGAAATTTTTTGGTACTCGCCTTCAAATCTAATGGAAGTTGACATAAACGCTATGTCCTCGTCAAGTGAAAGCAGCAGGACGAACATACGTCATCATTTGAATCTGTCTACTACAAAAATGATTCATTTTGTTAGGTTATATTTTTTTCAAATCAATTACCTGAAATGAAAGAATTATTAACTGTTAAAATTTACTTTAAGTACATTTAAAATTTCGTTATTTGACGACAAAATAACCCAACAAAGCGACATTTCAAATTTACTATACCATATTCGGAGATAAAGTACAGACAAAAATGAATCAATTTGTACCATGAAATAATGTAAATTGAAGGTATTCAATTTGCAAAACATGGAATTAAAAACAAAGATTCTTGGAGTTAATAAAATTTGCGGAGTTTTGTAGTGATAAATATCAGGAAAATTGAAGCTCATCCAAACAGATGTTCTACAAATATGCTTCCAATCGAACCGAGTTTTTGCCATGAAATCTTATGTCAATACTCATGAGGTCTGATGTCAATACCCATGATGTCTGATGCCAATACTCATGAAATCTGATGTCTTTTGTCATGAGGGCTGATACCAATACTCAAGAGGTCTGAGATGATCTTAGGAACATTAGAGTTTACATATTATCTCTCCTGCTGATTTCGAAATGAGATAGTACTTTCATGGTCACCCCAGCAGGTCGAGGATTTAGAAAGGAAAACATCTGTGACCCACTGCAACAAATGCGGGAATCGATTGCAGAATTGGGGATTTTCTTATGTATCCTCTACTCATATGCATATCAGAAGTATGGATATTAATATTTTCTCTTCACTTCGTAAAA